ATCATCAGGTCTCAAAGTGGGTTCCTCGTCATTGAATTTGAAAGTATGAAGACTTTGTTTGTTTGTTGAATTTCTTGCAAAGTTACTCGAGGGTTATCTGCGCTAGCCGTCCCTAACTTAGAAGTGATATACAAGAGGGCAGACAGCTAGTCAACACCATCCACCGCCAACTATTAGATTATTCTAAACAAATAGTGGATTCAAACCCCAACACGAAACGTCTGAAAGAGGGATTCTAATTCGTGAGATCAGAAGCCAATACATACTGAGAGAAGCACAATCAGCATGCTAATGCTACGGGGTTCTGGGGGCATGCGACTATTTCAAGCCAAAAAATGCTAACGCTTCCTCAGAAGAACGTAGACTGTGTAGAAAACGTTAAATACTATAAACGGCTACACTATAACTATACAAATAAAGAAAAAACTTTTCAAAAAGGAAGTAAATGTAGGGATGGCTAATATCAATCTTTCAAAAACAATACAAACAAGATAACACAGGAACATAGTGTAGTAGTATGTCAACACACAAAAATAGGATAAATTAAACTCAATTTTGATTGAATAGTTATATTGGTTGGTAATTCCTCTTCCATCCTGTGCTTAAGGTTTTTGAACGAACACGAAATTTCTGTAAGAAAGCTATCTTCAAGGGGTAATGATAACATCGTTTGCAATAGAATTATGATTATTTTTTTTTATAAAAGCGAATACTCAGTTTCAAACTATGTCACCTCAGTGAAATTAGTGGAAACTATTGTTTTAGTTTTGAGTTATCATGTCATAAAAAGAAGCATAAGAAAGAAGAACAAGAAATTCAAACTTTTTGCTATGTGTGTTTTATAGAAAAGCCACACTGGGCTATCTGCTGTGTCCACCGAGGGGAACCGAACCTCTGATTTTAGTGTTGTAAATCCGAAGACTTATCGTTGTCCCACTGGGGGACCCTAGAATTTGTGACTCAGTCATTAAATAGATGTTATAAAAGGAAAAACTATATAGTATTGTAAAGTTCTCATGACATATTTTTGAGGAGATATTTAAAATACGTTGTCGTTAAAAAATCCGAGCCACTCCTACATAGGCGATGCTACC